CCTCCCCCTTGCAGGATCCTGTGCCCATCTCATGGGCCCCGGCACCTTCCCGCGAGCGCGTCGCGGGCGGCGGCCGCGGCCGCGGAGGGGTGCGCCAGTGGCCGCCCCAGGCCCCCCCCCAGAGCCCGCGCTCCACGTCGAATGACCCCCGCCACCTGTGCGGGAAGGCCTGGAGCGCTTGATCGCGCCAGCGCGTGATAGGGGCCACTGCCGGGTGATCAGAGGCACGTGGCGGCTTCTGGAAGTCCTGAACCCAAAAAGGCTGCCACCTGAGCGACGATCTGATCAGACACGTCTCACGCGAGATGGCACAGCGACCCTACGCCGCAGCTTGCGCGGGCCGCCAGCGCGGCACGCACCACTGGAGAAGAGGGCGCTCACGCCCGACCCCACGCGGGCAGCTTGCTCGCGAGTGTCGGCGCCATCGACTCGGTCTTCCTGCGTCGCGCATCTCTTTGGAGCGCATGTTCTGCTTCCGCCAGTCTTCTTCCTTTTTACCGACGCTGCACCCTCTGAGTGTCAATTTGGATGGCTTGCGAGGGGCCACACTGAAGGCCTACCGGCAAGCGGCGCACGATATGGCTGTTCATATCGAGAGAGTGGGGGCCCTAATTAGCCGGGAGCTGCGCAGGGGGGGCCCTGAGTTCCACCCCTGCGCGCCCCCGCCTCTGCGGAGGCGGCACTGCAGAAGAGGCGCCCCGAGCCCCCTCGAGGGGCGAGGCGGCCATCAGCAAGGCGGCGCCCGTCTTCTGCCGGCTTCCGCCGGCGGAGCCGCCCTCGTTTTCCCTCCGCCGCCCCCCGTCGATCCTCGAAGGCGAGGCCCTCCCTGGAACGCCTCGCGTGGGTGAGCTGTAGAGGCGGTGCTTGCAGGCACGCGCAGCGCGCCGCTGCCAGGGCAGCACACCTCAACCCAACGTCGCAAGCCTGCGGGCCCTCGCACTTCGAGCGGCTGGCCGGCGGCCGCGATGCCTGCGGGACGGCAGGCATCCCAAGACGGGGCAGCCCTGTAAACTGAGTATCGTTTATCCGATCCCTATTCCCAGCGGCGTGGCCTGGGCCCCACTGGCCGATTTACCCCCAGATGGGGATATAGGCCGTTCCCTTCAGGTTTCGAGGGGTGCATCCCCAACTGGGGGGGGACTTAGGTGGGGGTCTCGAAGGCGATGGGGATGGGGATGGGGGTCGGTTAAACGATACTGATAAACTGACTGACGGGGGCTGCCGGCGTCGCCTGGCAGGGTTCTGAGCGAGAACCGGCCGCGCGCCCCTCGGAAACTTTTCCCCTCATGGATTCCAGTCTCCCTCCGCCCTTCGCCTCCTTCCCGCCCCATTCTGCCCCTCCCCCGTCGCGCTCCCTCATGGGGTCGCCTAACGTCGCGCGTCGCGCCTCGCAACGCGCGATGCGCGGTGGTCCTTCGCGCTCTCGCGCCGCCGCCCGGGAGGAAGGGCGCCTCTCCAACCCAAGCCGCGACGCGCGAAGCACGGTCATCTTCGCGCCCTGGGGGGGGGGGAGGGGCAAAACCTGACAGGTTCCAAGAAGCACCGGGAGAAAGAGCCCCGGAAGCGCCAGGCGGAGGCGGCCCCAGGAAGCAGCAGGTGGCCTGCAGGAGTCGGCCCCAGGAGGCGCCGAGGGCCGCGCGGAGAAGCAGGAGGGCCCCACAGGGTCCAGAATCGCCCAGCAGCGCCCAAGAGGCCCCCAGGAGGCCCCTCCTCGTCCTCCTCCTCCTCCGCCTCCTCCTCCTCCTCCTCCTCCTCCTCTTCCTCCTCCTCCTCCTCCTCCTCCTCCTCCTCCTCCTCCTCCTCCTCCTCCTCCTCCTCCTCCTCCTCCTCCTCCTCCCTGGGTTGTTTCCCCTTTCTAGAACGGCTATGGCACAGGCGCGGAGGCTGGGCTCGCCCCGAAGCAGATCGATCTCCCGCCCCCGGGGCGCCACTCTCCTGCCCGGCGTGTTGCCCGCCGCCTTGCCGCACGTGCGCCATCCGAGGACTTGCTCTCCGGCGTGCGCGGCCCGTGCAACCCCCGGGGTCAGTCCGGCCTCGCAGCATCCTGCACCCTACCACAGGTCGATGCAGGCCCTGGCTCTGCAGGATCCTGCAAGATCTGGCGCTCTGAGTGACCGCCGTCCCTCGGGCCCCCGAAGACCCAAACCCCCGACGTCGTGATCTTTTCCCAACATCGACCCCCAGAGGTCTGGACCCTTTCCCCGGGACCGGTTTTTCATCCCGAGTCGTTTTTTGACGACCCTGAGGCCCGGGAAGGGCCCCCGGAGGTCGAAAACAGCGAGCAGCCCCCCCAGCCTCCCGTCGCGACTTTTTCGCAGCGCGAGGAGGTCTGGGGAAGGGGTCCCCGCCCCTTGCCCCGGGGATCCGCCCAAGAGGCCCATCCTCGTCGTCGTCCTCCTCCTCCTCCTCCTCCTCCACCTCCTCCTCCACCTCCTCCTCCTCCTCCTCCTCCTCCCACTCCTCCACCTCCTCCTCCACCATTCTCCTCCTCCTCCTCCTCCACCTCCTCCTCCTCCTCCTCCTCCTCCACCTCCTCCTCCTCCTCCTCCTCCTCCTCCTCCTCCTCCTCCTGGATCCGCCCCCAGTCCCAGCGCTCCGTCTGCCTGCTGGTGCCGGAGCCCGACGCTGGGCCCCAGGGGGCCGAGATCGAGGACGGCCGGCGGGCTCGCGCAGAAATCGCACGCCGCCGCGCCGTCTGTTCTCGACGCGGCCCCATCCCCGAGATCCGACGCTCGCACAAAAATTGGAGCGGCTGGATTCTGGCAGTTTTCGGCCTCCAGGGGCCCTCGCCAGGCCTCGGGGGCGTCAACGCATGGCCCAGGAGGAAAAACCGGGCCCGGGGAAGTGGTCCAGACCTCCGGGGCCCACGCATCGAAAAAACTGGAGCAACCGGATGTCTGGGATGGGCGACGCGCGCGTACCCACCGGTCGGAAGAAGCGTGCAGAAACATGAAGTAGGACGGCGTTGAAAGCGGAGTGGGCTCCGTCCGCCCCCTGAGGAGGACGGAAAAGGTGAAATCACCCGACCATTGGAGTAGGGAAGCGCGCTTCAAAAGTAGAACGGAATCTGGGAATCCAGAAATATCTACTTTCAACGACCGATGGGTGCACCACGGCACGCCCACGGCAACCCCACGTCACGCCCTGCGCCCGAGGCGGCGTTTGCCCTCGTGGCCGCGGCACCCTTCCCGAGACGGAGAGCCGCGCACCAGAACAAGCGGCGCGCCAGCATGCTGGAGATCTGGGCAGAAGTTGAGGGGCAACGATCGGGGGGGGACTGGCACAGGGATGGATGCATCGACGCGGAATCGGCGATGCGTCGCCGATAGATCGGCGACAGGCCTCCGATAGTGAATCCGCACCTTCCTGGGCAGGTTGGGGCTATCGGGCTCCTATCGGCGATCAATGGGCGATTGGGGGCGATGCATCGCCCCCTATGCCTATCCCCCCCTATCGTTGCCCCTGAGGAGCGCAGCCAGCGGGTCAGCTCGGAGGCTCAGGGGCCTCTGTGGAATGGCTCCGGGCTGCGCGCCGACAGCCCCCCACAGGTGGCCCCAGGTGGCCTCGACAGACCCCCCAAGCAGTCCAGTCTCAACAAGCTTCCCCGGATAGTCCGGGGCGGTTTCAACAGCCCGACCATGGGGCGCAGTCAGCCTCGTGCTACTCGGGTGGGGGGGGCTGTTGCGGCCGGCTGGGGCTACTCGAAGGGCTGGTTGAAGGCAGCTGGGACTACCTGGGAGGGTCGAATCTGATATTGACCGTTTTTCTTGTGCGTGCCCCCCAGATATCCCGACCCTTTCCTGGGGTCTGGTTTTTCATGGCCTCTCGTTTTCCGTCAGTCCCAGGAGCTGGCGAGGGCCCCGGGTGGTCAAAACTGTCAAAAACCTCGGGTCGTGACTTTTGTGCGACACGGGCATTTTGGGTCTGTGCGCAACTCGGAACCTTATCAAGAATCTGTGGCCTCCCTTGTTCCCGGCAGCGCCCTGACTCCGGCTCCGCCGTACTCTCTTCCGACTGACAATTGTGTCGGAAATTCTTCCCGAAGGATGCGAACAATGAGGGCAGAAATTCGACCTCAGAAAAAGAAGGCGGATAAGGTCAGCAGGCGGAAACAGCGACGGCAAAAAATGGCGGACATCGGCAGGAGAGAAGCCAGACAACCAGGGCAGGAACTCCCGCCCTACTTGCGAAATCACCCAGAAGTGCAGCGGATCTGGGGCCCGGGTGCCTGGGAGGGCCGCCTGTGCGCAGCCCGAAGCTCTGCCCAGGCCTCTGTAGCCACCCTCCCCCTGTTCCCCGCAGCGCCGGCGGCATCCCTGACGGATCCTCGCACCTGGTTTGTCGTCGAGCCGACGACCGACGCGGTATGGCTTACAGTCGGCCCGTATCAGAAAGATCCGCGACAAGTTTGCAAGGGTCTTGGAAACCCATCCCGAAGCTTCTCGAGCGGGGCGCGGCCAGCGAGAGAGTGGCCAAGCATGGGCCGAGGAGGCAAGCAAGCAAGGGCACCCTTGGGACACTTGCCCATCCTCACCCTCGCCCTCACCCGCATGCCCCGTCCCACTCGCCCGCACGCCCCGCCTCACTCGCACTGGCCATCCTCACCCTCACCCTCACCCTCACCCGCACGCCCCGCCTCACCCCCACCCTCACCGGCATGCCCTCACCCTCACCCGCACTGCCTCACCCTCACCCTCACCCGCATTGCCTCACCCTCCTCCTCCTCCTCCTCCTCCTCCTCCTGCTCCTCCTCCTCCTCCTCCTCCTCTAAGACAAAGCCAGGGCGAGGGCAAAATCGGGTGAGAAGACATCGAGCATCTCTGAGATCTGGCGGCTCCGGAGGATGCCTCGGACGCCGCGGCCTTCTCGGAGCGTTTCTGGAACCCTCTGAGAGCGTACCCGAAGGCTCTGGAACGGACTTATCCTCGTCCTGGTCCTCTCCGACTGGCGGCCGCTGACCAACAACAAACAAACCATACAATCCCCGCAGCGCCCGCGTCCTTCGCCACCGCGTCGCGCCGCTCCTCTGCAGCGCTCCGGGCGGCGGTGGCCGCGCTCAGCTTCTCGTCGGCCGCGTTCAGCCGCTCCTTCGCCTGCAGGCCGCACGGGGGGCAGCGAGGCCGTGCGGGGCGGGCGAGCGTCGGCAGCGGCCTCCAGCGCTAGCTTGGCGCTGCTGAGGGCGATGCCTTGCCATCGCTCGGACGGCCATGCACCGCGCACTGTTCGGTGTCGTGCGTGTTCTTTCTTCTCTCGCAGGATGATCCAGGTTGCTCCTCAAGGACCCCCGCCGAGAAAACGTGCCCACGTCCGAGCGATGCCAAGACGCGGGAGGCGAGGGCACACCTCCAGTGCGGGGGCCAGCGGCCGCGAGAGCGACGGGCAGTGTGGGGGGGGGGGGGGGGGGGCGAAGGGGCATATAGGGATCGCAAAGGGTGGGGTTGAGACTCAGCTCGCGTAGCTCGTGTTCCTGGCGCCTCCCGGCGCCGGGAGGCGCCCACGCGTCGAGGACCGTGCCCGGCGGCGGGGCCGGAGCCGGCTGCCCTGCCCGTTCGTCCCGCCCGACGGTGGTCCGGTGGCGGCACGGGTCGTGGCCTGGAGCCGCCTCGGGGGGGCGCGTGCGCGGCCTGGCACCCCTGGCGCGGCCCGCGCGCCAGGGGTGCGCGCGGGGGCGAGCCCGCTTTCAGGACGCAGGCGAAGCGGAACGGGGCACTGCAGGCGTGTCTATCTGCGCGGGCTGCACTTCTGGGCGTTGGCTCGTACGGGGACGATTGGCAGGGGGGTGCGGAAACGTACACCTTTCGTGCCCTTTTGGGCCCCAGGGGGCGCCTTTAGTAGGGCCCCTGAGGTGCACAAGAGGTGCACCTTTCTCCCCCCCACCCCCCCCACCTAGCGACCGGTTGTTACTGTGGCCCGTTGGGTGTTAGTGTGGCCCGTTGGGTGTTAGTGTGGCCCGTCGCGCGGCGGGATGGGAGTTACTGTGGCCCGCGCAGGCCGCTCAATGAAAAGTAATATGTAAAGGTAACTCATGTTAGATCTGGAGAGATTCGCAAACCTTAAGGGAATGCACTCCCGCGCAAGCAAAAGTGGCCACGGTAACTCCCACCTGGAACCAACGTGGTAGTAGTGCTGTGTTAGTGGTGTGGTGGTCGATGTGCTGTGTTAGTGGTGTGGTGTTGGTAATGTTGTGTTAGTGGTGTGGTGTTGGTGGTGGCTGGTTGTGCTGTATCTTGTGTTAGTGGTGTGGTGCTGGTAGTGGTGTGCTGTGTTAGTGGTGTGGTGTTGGTAGTGCTGTGTTAGTGGTGTGGTGCTGGTAGTGTTGTTGAGTTGTTAGTAGGTAGTAGTGTTGTCGTACTGGCAGTGGTGCTGTGGTAGTGGTGTTGTGGTAGCGGTGTTGTGGTGTTGTGGTTGTGGTATTGTGGTAGCGGTGTTGTGGTGTTGTGGTAGCGGTGTTGTGGTGTTGTGGTACTGGTATTGTGGTAGTGGTGCTGTAGTGTGGTAGTACTATGGTGCTGTAGTGTTGGTGTTAGGTAATCTCATTCATAGGGAGTGCTCGTCCTACGGAGTACTAGCCGCAGGGAGTGCTAGCCCCAGGGAGTACCAGTCCTAGGGATTACTACCCCTAGGGCGTACTCGTCCAAGGGAGTACTCGTCCTAGGGAGTACTCGCACTACGGAGTACCAGCCCTAGGGAATACTCATCCTAGGGGGTGCTAGTCCGAGGGAGTGCCAGGAGGTACTGGCGCTAGGGAGTGCTAGCCTAGGAAGTACTGGCGCTAGGGAGTGCTAGCCCTAGGGCGCTAGGGACGACGAGAAGTAGTAGTAGTGTAATAGTAGTAATAGTAGTAGTAGTAGCAGTAGTAGTAGTAGTAGTAGTAGTAGTAGTAGTAGTAGTAGTAGTAGTAGTAGTAGTAGTAGTAGTAGTAGTAGTAGTAGTAGTAGTAGTAGTAGTAGTAGTAGTAGTAGTAGTAGTAGTAGTAGTAGTAGTAGTAGTAGTAGTAGTAGTAGTAGTAGTAGTAGTAGTAGTAGTAGTAGTAGTAGTAGTAGTAGTAGTAGTAGTAGTAGTAGTAGTAGTAGTAGTAGTAGTAGTAGTAGTAGTAGTAGTAGTAGTAGTAGTAGTAGTAGTAGTAGTAGTAGTAGTAGTAGTAGTAGTAGTAGTAGTAGTAGTAGTAGTGTATAGTAGTAGTAGTAGTAAAAAGTTAGTAAAAAAGTAAGTGCAGTATGTCGTCGTAGTATAGTCGTAGTAGTAGTAGTAGTCGTAGTAGTAGTCGTAGTAGTAGTGGTAGTAGTAGAAGTAGTCGTAGTAGTAGTCGTAGTAATAGCAGTAGTAGTAGCAGTAGTAGTAGTAGTAGCAGTAGTAGTAGTAGTATTTGTTGTAGTAGTAGTAGTAGTAGTAGTAATACGGGTATGAGTAGTAGTAGTAGTAGTAGTAGTAGTAGTAGTAGTAGTAGTAGTAGTAGTAGTAGTAATAGTAGTAGTAGTAGTAGTAGTAGTAGTAGTGGTAGAGTAGTAGTAGTAGTAGTAATAATAAGTCATAATTCGTCTTATTAGTATTAGTACTAAGTAGTCGTATTACGTATAGTAGTAGTACGGGTTAACTATTTCAGTAGTAATTAGTCGTAGTAGTAGTAGTAGTAGTAGTAGTAGTCGTAATAGTAGTAGTCGTCGTAGGAGTCGTAGTACTCGTAGTAGTAGTAGTAGTAGTAGTAGTAGTAGTAGTAGTAGTAGTAGTATTAGTAGTAGTAGTAGTAGTAGTAGTTGTAGTAGTAGTAGTAGTAGTAGTAGGAGGTGAGGGGGTGAGATCGAAGTGGAACGGAATGCCCCCCTATCGGGAAATCGATTTCGGTTTCGTGTTCGTGCTGCCGTGCGGTCGAGGCGAAGCTGCGTGGGCGGGCGAGAAAAGTCTCCTGTGGCTGAGGCGCGGCCGGACCAAATGTCTCCCTTCCGGGCGGCCGGGGCCCCGCGGTGTCCCGCCGGTGTCCCGCTGGTGTCCCGTGTGGCTGAGGCGCGGCCGGACCTAATGATTCCTTTCCGGGCGGCCGGGGCCCCGCGGTGTCCCGCCAGTGTCCCGCTGGTGTCCCGTGTGGCTGAGCGCGGCCGCCTAGTGTCCGTAGTAGTATTAGTAATTAGTATAGTAGTAGTAGTAGTAGTAGTGTAGTAGTAGTAGTATAGTGTATTATAGTAGGACGTAGTAGTAGTTATAGTAGTAGTATTAGTAGTAGTAGTATATAGTAGGACTAGTTCGGAAGAGGGCCCAAGAGGCTCTTCGGAGAGCCCAAGAAGCGCTTCGGATGCCCCAAGAAGCTCTTCGGAGGCCCCACGAGGCTCTTCGGAGAGCCCAAGCGGCTCGTAGGCGGCTGGAAGAAGGTCTTCGGCGGCTCCAAGAGGCTCTTCGGAGAGCACCAGAGGCTCTTCTGAGAGGCTCTTCGGTGAAGGGGGGGGGGGGGGGGGGGGGGGGGGGGCAGAGCCTTTTTTGGACCCCCCCCTTCACCGTACTCGATAATTAATACATTCCGGAGGACCCCTGGCCATACTAACACCCACCGGGCCGCAGTAACAACCAACGGGCCGCAGTAACACCTTATCTCCCCCCACCTATCGCCCCCCCTCCCGCTACGCAACGCTTAGGTCGGGCGTGTCCCCCTACAGGCTGATATTGGATGAAAAGTTTGCCAGCCCAACGGGCCAGAGGCGTGCTAAGATCTCCGGTAACTGGTTAACACTTATTCTAGTTCGCGCGCGCGGGGCGGCCCCTGGGGGTCCCCCGGCGAAAAGTACCCCGACCGAAGCCCGGGAACTATTACTCAGAGATGGTTTCCCTCCTGGGTGCGGCCTTCCACGCCCCCCGGAGCGCGCCAAGAGGGCCAAAAGAGGCCCCCAAGACGGTCCAAGAGGGCTCCGAATCACCGAACGATCGGCCCAAGACGCCCAACACGGCGTCAAGACGGCCCAAGAGGCCTCCAAGACGTCCCAAGAGAGCCCCGACCCTTCCCAAGAGAGCCCCAAGAGGCAAAAATCAATGATTTTCATTGGTTTTCGAAGGTTTTTGGCTTCCTCGCCTTTTCGCCTTTCCGACGCTCCAAGACGGCCCAAGAGGCCCCCAAGACCACCCCAAGACGGCCCAAGAGGCCCCCAAGAGAGCCCCAAGACCGCCCAAGAGGGCCCCAAGACAGCCTAAAAGGCGCCCAAGAGGGCCCCAAGAGGGCCCCAAGAGGGGCCCAAGATGGAGGCCACGAACCGAAAATCCGAGCCTTCCGCGTCAAAAGGCCTCCAGGACACCCCAAGAGGCCCCCAAGAGGCCCCAAGAGGCGCCAAGAGGCCCGAAAGAGACCCCAAAAGGCTCCAAAACGAAGCCCCAAGAGGCAAAACTCAGTGATTTCCATTAGGTTTCTGAAGGTTTTTGGCTTCCTCGCCTTTTCGCGTTTCCGACACTCCAAGACGACCCAAGAGGCCCCCAAGAAGCCCCCAAGACCACCCCAAGACGGCCCAAGAGGCCCCCAAGAGAGCTCCAAGACCGCCCAAGAGAGCTTCAAGACAGCCCAAAAGGCGCCCAAGACGGCCCAAGAGGGCCCCAAGAGGGGCCCAAGATGGAGGCCACGAACCGAAAATCCGAGCCTTCCGCTCCAAGAGGCATCCAGGACGCCCCAAGAGGCCCCCAAGGGGCTCCAAGAGGCGCCAAGAGGCCCGAAAGAGACCCCAAAACGCTCCCAAACGGGGCCCCAAGATACAAAAATCAGTGATTCTCCTAGGTTTTTGAAGGTTTTTGGCTTCCTCGCCTTTTCGCCTTTCCGACGCTCCAAGACGGCCCAAGAGGCCCCCAAGAGCGCCCCAAGACGGCCCAAGAGGCTCCCAAGAAGGCCCCAACCGGCCCAAGAAGGCCCCGAGACGGCCCAAGAGGCACCAAGACGGCCCAAGAGAGCCCCAAGACGGCCCCAAAAGGGGCCCAAGAGAGGGACCACGAACCGAAAACTTGAGCTTTCTGCCCCAAGAGGGTGAGACCGCCCAAGAGGCCTCCGACACGGCCCAAGATGGCCCCAAAGTGGGAACGGGAACGGACATATCGAGCCCTCGGCCCCAAGCGGCGCCCAAAGCCCCAA